AAAAAATTTTAGTATTTTCTGATTTGAACATCACAAGATATGGTGCACTAATGGATAATACACCAGAGAATCAGAATTTGACAAGGAATCTTTGGAATTCTGGCTTTTTGAATGAGAATTTTTTTAAAAAAATAATAAATTTAATAGAACTTTACAGATTTCTGTGTGATTGACAATAATCTGATGATCACAGTGATTTGAAAAATGCAGTAAATTTTAATAAATTGTGATAAACCTGAATTATAAAACCAGTTCTAACATCTAGCTTTGTTGATTTTGCATTTTTTATTATTATTAGTTTCATTACCTTTTGTTTTTTTTTTTAGTTATTTTGTCAATGATGCAAAAACATTGTTTTTAATCAATTGACCTATTCTTATTGACCCACCCTAAAAAAAAAATATTGTTTTTAATCCACATAGTATAAAATAATCATATTGTCATACACTGCGAAATTTATATATTATTTATTATAATCATATGCATAAAATTATATGTACTATAATCTTATCGCTACATATATATATATTATCTGTACTATACATAATTTATTGTATGCATATAATATATTAAGATATAATAATATTTTAAAATCTTTACAAGTTTTTGTTTGACTCTAATCTAGATATTTGCTTTGTTTTATTTTTTTTGCTATCAAACCATGTAAATAACTTTTTTTTATTTTTTCCACTGTCATCACTTAAATGAATATCTTGTTCAAGGCAAGGTTTTACAAAGTTATATTGCTTTCAATTAGTTTGCTTCTCTTCAAAAAGCCTTTCAAGTTTGGATCATATAATATTTTTGTTGGATAATATTGTATTAACATTATCTTCATATTGAATGGACTATATATTAAAAGTTTATAATTAATATCTATATAGCATATATAAATATAATACTCATTTTTTTTAATAATTATATTACCTGTCTTCTTGAAACACTATATTTGTGATTATGAACCACAACTATTCTTCATTTTTAAATTGATAGAGACAATAAATTTGATTGCTCTTCCAGATTATCTAACGAAGTTTAATCTAATTCAAATATAGCTGATGATTCTAATTCATCATCAAGTAGCATTAAATCATTATTGCTATTATTATTGTCAACATTCTACAAAAAGTAATATATTTGTAAATCATAAATATATACAATTTATTTGATATATATATATGTTGTACCCCAAATGATAATTCTGTCTCGATTGCCAATTGGAACAGCCCAAATTAAAATTGCCCAAATCTAACCTTAATGTCTGGGCTAATTAATTTATAATTTTGGCCAGATTGTTATCTGGGAAAATTGTCATTTGGGGCACGACATATACATACCTTTTTATCATTATTAGATATTATATTTGCAAAACTAGTCAATTTTCGAGGCTTTGCACTATGAATTTTAGGAGTACTGATATTTAAAATCTTTCATATAGGCATTTCAGCAGACTAAAATTGGTTTCTTTCTGTAGTTCCACATTCATATGGGTAGAAAATATCATTACCCTGTATTGAATAAATCTGAAGAATTTCTTCTAATACAGTATCAGTCAAACCACTATATATAATATGATTCTTTTGCTCTTTTGGTATTGCATACTCTTTATTGCAAAAGTATTGCACAAGATCATTCTTAATAATATCTGGTATAATTTCATTATCTTCAACCTTGTTAAACAATTGTACTGCATAAACATGCTTATATATATTTCGAAAGAAGCCATTCTAAATAAAATCTAAGCACGTACATTCTTCTGTAAAAATATTGATAAGATAGTAATCTTTTTGCTACACAACAGGATGTTTAAATGCAAGTTCATTTAATATTAGCTGAAGTAATTTGCTTGATTTGTCATTAATACTAATTCTTCGCATAGTATATGGAGATCTAAATTCGCTATTTCTCTTTTTTACATAAAAGTATATATCTGATCCTTCAACTGCAGGTTTTACTGAGTGAAGTATAACATAAAGACATTCTTGTTCAATCATCACTTTATATCAATTGGTTGCTTAAATAGTAATGTCTGATGCTCTATAATTCGTGAATTCTAATATGTTATTTGACCTGCTTCAAATACCAACTGTAAAGAGATTTCTTTAATAATATTATCTAGTATTAAAGTAATACCATATAACCTTTCAATAAAATGGTTAATTGGTTGAGTACCTACACACTGACCTTCAACTGACTTATTCATTTGCTCTGTGAGATTGTTTGTAGTCATAGGTTTAGTATTTGGTAAATCATTTGTGGATAGCATTCGACCACCATCAATAAAACAATTGATCAGACACTAATTGAAAAATAAATCATTATATGGTGCAAGAAGCCTATATCCAACATCATGTGATCTCAAGCAACATACTAATTAAAAATTGTATCTAGTCAACAAAATTATACTTCAACAAAAAAAAA